TGCCATCAGATCAGGCCCGGAGCCAGGACCGCCTTGGCCAGCAATGGGGCTTGTGGGCAGCCAGCAGGGATTCCCCTGTCCACTCTGAAGAAGGGAGTGAACTCTTGCTCTGCGGAAATGGCCTTCGGACCTGTGCACAACTGCATTGCCAGTTCGAGTAAAAGCGGTGGGTATTCGAGGCGGAGTGCCTCTTGCTGGAGCCTCTCGAGGTCGATGGTGTCCTAGAAAGTGGACATGTCCATAAGGACAGTGATGCCATGTTGACCCCGCGCTCTATGGACCTCTTGGCGGAGAATCCTTTCCAATGCCACATATAGCACGTTTGCTCCAGGGCGTGCCTTGTCATGGTTCATGGTCGACGGCAGTTGTCTTTGCCATTGGTCCAAGAGTGGCTTCCTCAAACGACACCAGGTTCTCCATAGAGTGGACGTCAAGGTTATCGGCCGTTCGATGCTCTGGTTTTTTGGAAGCATCACCACCATGTGCATTCGGAGCTGGGTTGGTAGCTCAGCTTGGGTTTCCATTGTTTGGAAGAGCTGCAGCAACGGTGGTAGTGAGAGTGGTGGCGCTGTTTTGAGGAGCTGCGTTGAGACAGCATCTGGGCCACTAGCCTTGTCTGGCAGATTTTTGAGGAGTCGGGCCAAGTGACCTGAGCTTGTGCTTGAGCTGCTGTCCGCAAACTGGTTCTGGGGTGCGGTGTGTTGTCATCTCTGATGCCCCAGAGTGCTCCCCAGTCTTGAAGTCGATGGGTCATGCGGTCTGGGATGGGCACATTCCTGTAAGGCCTCTCCCATGCAAGTTCACTGCTCTTGAGCCCTCGAAACTTGGAGGCCTTTCTGTTGGCCGGTTTTGAGCCATTCCTGGTACTGCAGCATGTTGTCATCATTGGCTTGTTGTTGTGTTTCTTTGAGCTGGTGCTGCATAGTGCGGTTCAGGAGATCAGCTGCATGTGGATCTCTGTACTTGTGCCAATGATGTGCAGTGTCGAGAAATTGGCCCCATGTGGGTGGGCCATGCCAATGTTTTGGCACATCGTGGATTGCTTGCATGAAGCCCTTCACAGGTCCATGCTGGACTCCATCCGGTTGTTTGACTGCTAGCTGGAATCGTGCTGCAAGTTGTTCCCAAAAGGCAAGCCTCCCTTTTCGCCAGGTCTGGGTGGGCTTGGTGGCTACCAAAGGCTTTGTGATGGCCTGCAAATTTGCACCCCGACCTTGAGCCGCCCAAGGGTGCTCCTGGAGGAGGTATTGCTCGGTTCGAGATAGCCAGTCGGCCCACTGCTGTGCTGGTTCATTGGGTGGGATGTCATAAAGACATAACTGGTAGGCCTGACTTTGGTAGGTGGTCCATGGCCTGAAGTCAATATCAGGCACCTTTGGCAGAGTTGGGAAGTGCTGTACCTGACGGCATTCCCGGGTGGCTGCTTCAATGTCGAAATGCAGTGTGAGCAGTGCATGTGGTCTCCACGGGACAGCCCAATCTGTTGTCAAAGCCGTAGTGCTGGCCAGACTATCATGAAGGAGTCCATAGTCAAGAACACTGCCTGAGAGGACACTGTGGTCTGGAGCAAGAATGCCAAAGTGAAATTTGGCAGGCAAAACCGTGCTGGCTATCGCATCTGGTGGTTCTGCCAGTCACCAATGATGACATAGGGATGTTTTGTGGCTGTGATCAAAGCCAGGATCCTGCCAATGATGGCAGCATTGGTGTCACTCTGAAGTGTTTCAGAATTGCGGAGGTAGAGGCCAAGAACTAGGATTGTGCTGTCCGTAGCTTGCCAAAGGAAGGCCTGGTAGCCACAACCTTGGATGGTATAGGCCTCAAGCTCTGTCAAACAGCTGGATGGATCAGCAATCACCAACAGCCCTCCATGTGTTCCATTGTTGTCACAATTGGTTGCTGCCGGGGTTCCAAAGGCCGTTCTGCCTCTGATGGTGAAGTACTGACAAATTTCACCGTGTCTTTGTGGGTCCAAGTGCGTCTCAGCAAATATGTGCACTTCTCCCTCTCTGGTCCAGTACCAGTCTATGACCTGCCGTCCAAAATTTGTGACATTGGCATAGTGGAGCTTGTTGTGGCCCTGTGTGAGGCTTGCACGCTTTGGTGGGCTGGGGTGCAAGGGTGGTTCGTAGTCTGGCTTGTCAGGTGGTGGGAGGCTGCGCCAAATTTGTTGTGGTGTCCTGAAGATGGCTATGTCTACGGCCCAAATCTGTGTGATCTGGCTGGCCAATTTCGGTGTGAGAAATGGCAGGTAGGTAGGAACCTTGCCATCGTCCGCCAACCACATCAAGTCCCTGTAGATCAAGATGGCAAAGTAGTGACCGGTGTCATGCGTTTTGCCTCTGTGACAAATGAGGACTGCCGGCGCAAATTCCGTGGATGTGCGGGCAAAGCCATCCAGCGAGCGTGGTACTGTGAAAGTACCATATGGATTGAGCGTCTTGTTATGCTTGGTTGCAATGCCATCTATCATCGTATTCCGGGTGACATGGCAGATGAGGACTTTCTTGTCATCCATGAGGTATTGTCCCATGCCGTGGTTGGCCCAGCTGTTGATGAGGTCCTGGAACTTAATGTCTTCTGGTCCATCATCAGGATATGGGATCAGGATTGGCATCTGCACATGGTCTACCAGGTAGCCGTTCTCCCGGATTTCGGCATACCTGTAGTGGAAAGCTCTTGTCTGAGAGTGCAGCCAGAGGGAGTTAACAAAGTGATTTGCATCCCCTTGAAGGTTCAGGTCATGTTGCTTCCAAAGGGATTGCATGCCCGGTAGCTGATGTAGATCAACATTCTCCGCTGTGTCAAGCGATTCCTGCACAGCTTCTTGGAGAGAGCCCCATGGCTGTGTGCTGGTTTCTTGAAGCAGTGCACACGTCCAGGTGAATGCCCTCCATGGGGCATTGGCAAAGCAATGTGCACTTGGATTGCCAATGGTCATCGTGAGGTTCTGCAAAATGCAGTCTGTCGTTGATGCATGGTCGTGAGCCATCGTCTGAGGGCCAGGAGGACTCGGTGCAGCTTGGATGCCAGGGTTGGCCCCTCCCTTGATGGAGAGATAGCTGAAGGCGGTCACTGGCTTCTCATGGGCACTAGTCTGGTGATTCAGTGTTTGGGCTTCATGTGGCGCCCCACTGTTGGTTTGAGGTATTGGTTCATCTTTGCATGACATGTCCCCTGCATGCTCGATGAGTTGGTTGTCCCCTGAGGTGTAGGCATCAAAATCAAAAAGATGTGTCTCGTCCCCTGCACATCCTTCGTGCTCTGCCATTGAAACAAGCTCTGAGCCTGAAGCAGCACGGCAAACCCGTGAGTGCTGGTTCAAGTGGGTCCCTGGTGGTGCCTCATCAAAATGGTCAAAGGGAATGGGCACATGTTCCCCTTGAAGGTTCCCCTGTATCTCTGGCTGGTTGTTACCCACACAACATGCCGGTGGGTGTGGCCGGAATGCTTTCAGTTTTCCTGCGCTTTGTGGGGTCCTCTTCGTCCGTGTTCGGACGCTTCAAGAGGCCATGGAGCTGGCTTCGCTGATCTTCGGTCAGTGATATGCCAAGGCTCGTGACAAAAGATTCAACGGCCATGGGTATTGGCTCTGTTGGGGCGGCTTCACTTCCGAGCTCTTCTGGCTTGGGTGTTTGGTTGACTGCCGCCATGTATTTGTCAGAGAGTTGCTTTAGCCGTTGCTGTCCTTCATTGAGCTTTGTTTGGATCTCCTGCATGTCCTGCAACATGGCAGCATACTGGCTTTTGATCTGATCCAGTTTGCCTTGTAGTTGCGTCTTTCTGATGGACTGGTTCTTCAACTCAGTGACCTGTTGCTTCAACTGCTGTGCAATTTCTTTTTCTGTCTGCGGGATGGGTGCAGTGAGGCGGGTCACCACAGCTTGAACTTCTTGTGGAAGTGATGCCATGTGGGTCTTGAGGATGTCCGTCAAACCTGGCTCTTCCTGAGGTTGCGGACCCAGGCCGAGGGCTTGCAGCTTCGTCTGAATGGTGTCCGGGATGACATCCCATGTAGCCTGCAGGAGTTCGGCTGCTTGCTGCTGATCCTTTGGTTTCCTCAGGGGCCTGGGCTTTGTAAGTCCGGGTGGTGTGTCGATCAAGGCCTCTTGGTAGGTCTTCTTGGGCCACGTAGTTGACATGTAGGCCTTGGTCTTGTTGGTGTGACCTTGTCCTTTGCCCTTGCCATTGTTGGTGGTTGTGGTCCACCACGTGCCGCATTTCCGGCGCCGAGTTCCATGTTGGAGCTTGTCCTGCCATATCCAATTGTTGCAGTGGTTCTTGCTGCAGACCTGGTAGGTTCGGCACCATGAAGTCATAGTTCAAGAACTAGGTGCTACAGCCGTCCACCAAAAAGGCAAGGGGTGTGGCGCGCTCTTCGTTCTGGCCTTAGACAAAGACAGTGGAGTAGAACCAGTGACCGAGAGAACCTCCAGCTGATAGCCAGTGCGAGCACTGCCAGGTGCCAAAGAGGTCCACAGGAACGGCCTTGATGTTCACGTTAGATCACGAGCAAAGAACGCTCACCCTGGGACACGTCAGTGGCGGTGTGCGTCGCTTGGAGCTCAGTGCACACGTGGTGCGAGGGGCTTAACGCACAAGCTGGATTTCTTGAGCCATGTATGTATGTATGTATGTATGTGTGTGCATTTCTATAAGCAATCTTGAGTGCAATGATCCAGTCCAATGCAATCTCGAGCAAATGAGGTGTATGTCATACAGGCTTGATGTTGAGACTCCAAGTTTGGCGGCATCTTGCTTTGCACACGGAACGAGTGCGAGCCATTAAACATTGCGCAAAGCCGCACACAATTACACTCAGAATCCAGACCAACCTAGTGGAACCTCTCGACTCAGCTCCCTTGCACCACACGGTTTCTTACACCATCCTAAAGCCCTTGGTTTAGCACGACAACCTTGAGCCTTAAGCTGCATGAACTATTCTTTCCTGGACGCATATCACAGCAGGTCATTTGTGTCCAGCAGTGCTATTCGGTGGCCTGGCCGTTGTAAACGCTGCTTGCTAGCCCTGCGCGGCCAAGGTTCTCTTCGCTGATAAGCCTTTTTGCCAGCGCCATGGCCAAGTCTTGAGCCACAGGTTGCGAAGCTGAAGCATCACCAGTGGCAAGCAATGAGGGTTGGAGACCCTGCCGAGCCATTGGGCTTTAAACAATTCAATCGGTATTTCTCAGATTTATATAATTCATGTCTGTTGAAAACTGCTGTGTCATGAGTCTCCATACAGCTGGCAAGACTTCAGAAGCTCTTTCAGGCCACATTTTCAACCCAAGTCTAAGCAAACCTCACAGTTGGCACTAGCCTAGCCTACTTATAAAGTTTTACATAAGTACAGTCCAAGAGCCTTACTCGCAAAACCAGAGCTAAATTGGGGTTTATATGTAGTTACAGGAAAACGACCTACAAGCGCCACCTAGTCGCACCTGTTTTGCCTTGAGCCAAAGTAATACGAGTGAGACGTATATGATACTACACTAGCGTGAAACAACACCCCCCGCTGAACGAAAATGGGGAGGAGTGAAGACTATGTACAGTGGATTGGGACCTACGAAGGCAACCGGTCCCCCGGTACGTGCGATTCGGACGAAACCGGCTCCTGCCTATGAGATGGAGAGGATAGTTGACCTCAAGGGCAGAGAGATCACTGTCAGGTTCATGCTAGTGTTCACTCGTACTGCAATGCTATACATGTTTGGAGTCATCTCACGAAGAAACAGCGCAATCTTTTGACGCATTAGGCGGTAAGTGCACGATTGGCCTTTCAGAAAGCAGAAGCATCACCGGTCGGCACACGCTCCCGCGTGGCGAATCAGCGCTACAAAAGTATGTGCGTCTCCTGGGCTTGCAATGTGACAGGTACTTCGACCCTCAACATTCGAATTACATCTTGCTGGCGCAAAAGTGAAGTTCGGCATCCGGTCCCCCGGTGCAACACAGAAGCGATCATCAAGGGCAACCGCTCCCGCGGTGCGATGGAGGAATAACAGCCTCACAGTTGAGAGCCACGCTGCCTGTTGGATGTTTTCTCTTTGTTTGGGTTTTCGATTTTGAATCCAAAGGCATCGACTCCCGTCGTGCGGATGTTTCTACCAGTTGCGTGAGCTCCACCAGTCACGGTTCCAGCGATCGTCACGCTGCCATTGGCTTGAGCGATCTTGCCACCATCCTTGGCTCCAGTCTTGTCCGCGATTCCATGATGAGGAAGAAGATGACCATTGGGTCTGGCGCCAATCTTCATGAGCACGTGCCTGATCCTGTGCAGCCCTCGCAAGGGCTTTGGCTGATGCAGAGTCTGCTTTCGCTCGAGGAACTACCATGGTCCTAGTCTCTTTGCCAAGCTGCAAGTCAACATTCGGAATGAAGGCGATGTCCTCAGCGATAAAGTCGAGCAGAAGCTGGAGAAGTTCATCTGGATCCTTTTCATCAATTTTCCACTCCGAGTGGAAGCCCAATATCGGCGGGCGCTTTGCGTTCTGGGCATAGCTTGCTGCAAAGACCTCGGGACGGTAGAGCCTGTTTTTCCAATACACCAGGAAATCTTTGCTCATGTCCGCCTCTCCCACCTTCTCAGGATCGTTGATGTAAATCAGCTTCCCAGCGTAGCGATGGCCGACCCCCTGCATGATCATCTGATGCGTTCTTGGTGGGTCTGGAATGACCGCATTTGCCAATTTCTCCAAGAAGCTGATGCAGAGGGGTGACAGATCTTGTGCCGCGCAGTTGAAGGCGTATAGAGGATCCGTCAATTGCCTCTGTGAGATGGTCATGCCCATTTTGTCTGCTTTGTTCACATGGCTTCGAGCATTGGTCTTCAGGATGTTGATACCTGATCGATTTGCTCGTGGATCATGGCCATGCGTCCCCGCAGGCGTGTTGCGAATGCCGGTCCCCTGTAGCCGATCTTCCTGGACCATATCGAGTGAGAGTTCAACACCCATTTCTGAGGCGATCTCTTCCATTCGAATGACCTGGGCGGCCTTGCAAAGGTCCGACGCGGTGTTCAAGAAAGTACCGCACTTGCCGCAACACATCGGGCCAAAAGTGAAGTGGAGTTCACAAGTAGGGCAGTGCCCTTCAGGCATTTGAATCCCTTCCACTACAAGCCATTGCGTCTTGCCATAGCCCTCTTTCGCTGGATCACAGGCTCTGAAGTCGAATCTGGGCCGGTTGTAGTTCGGCAGCACGTCCGTCGGGCTAATGCTGTTGCGGTTCGCCCGGAAATTTGGCCGCCTAGTGACATACACTGTCTCAAGAACCTTGAGATCCGGCAGATTCTTTCCAGCCTTCATCTGGTCCTTGACACCCTGCACCTGGTACTGGCCACCGAAGATGAAAGGGTGAAATGTCGTCACCTTGCCACACCATCTTTCATAGTCATCGAGGACGTCTTTGGTGGAAGATTCCAACCTTGACGTGATCAATTCTTCATCTCCGGCAAGCGGTCCCCCGCTGCGTGCTTCATGGAATGCCTTCTTCTTTCCTTGGAAGATTGCACGGTAATGGGCATACACGTGGTTGGCATACAAGTAGCACGCATTGGACATGTCATACTCAAACATGACATAGCGACAGGAGATCCAATCAGGGCAAAGGATTGTACCGGCCGTCGTTTCCACGAGGCGATGTCCATGGACTGCCATCATATGCAAGTCGAGAGCAATGCAGACGGGCCGAGTAGACGCCATTGCTGCATAGTCTGTCGCGCTGATGCTCCATGAGTCCTCTTTGGTGAGAGACGTGTACATATCTCCGGTCCTGTTGCCCCCAGGAATCAATCCCATGTTAATGATGTCCTGGATGGATGCATGGTGCGTGTAGTGATAGAGGATAGATGGCTGAATGTCCTCAACACGTCCATGGGCGTTCACTGGCACACGAGGGAATTTGCCGCTGTTGTACTCGGCAACGCCATACTCCGGATCCAGCACAATGAAGCACTCATGCTCCGGCAGTGCCTCCTCCACATTCTGGTAAGACCAGTCATTGTGGTGCTGAATGGCTTTGAGGCGAAGTGGCGTGTACTGTCTCTTTCCCCCGACCAAAGTCCCCTTTGGCGCCACCTTGATTTCCATCATGAATCGATGGTTGCTCGTGAGAACAACCAACATGTCATCGACGGTCAATGACTGCGTGTACTTCTTCTTGATGTACATGTAGACATGGTTGAACTCCATCCAAAGTCCCTTCTGGAATGCCGGTGGCGGGACACGATTTCGCTTGTTAGTGTGTTCCCACCCTCGCAGCAAGCCAGAGATTCGGCGTGAAAGCCACACATGGTCGGAGTTAAGGTGTTCCAATTTGGAGGCTCCGGGCACTTCCCTGGACTGTAGCGCCACCACCTGGTTCTCTGAAAGCGGTGATGTGGCCCCTTTTCGCATAGGCGGAGCCTTCGGTTGAACCTTAGGCATCACCTTTGGCTGGACTGCAGGCTTTTCCGTGGCAGATGTAGTTTTGTCGGCCACGGCTCCCGCCGGGCGTTCCTTCGGCTTTGGCTGAGGCTTTGATGCAGGTTTCGCAACAGCAGTGGCCTCGGCTCCCGCCGGGCGTGCGTCCGACGATGATGATGCAGTCTCTTCTGAGGATTTCTTGGTTGCCTTAGGCTTGGGCTCTTGTGATGGTTCTTCAACAGTTCTTTTGGCTGGCGGGCCATCAGCAGGACGAATCTTGGTTCCCTTCTTATTCTTCACACCTGGATCAGCTCCTCCACGGAAATCAGTAACTTGCTTGAATTTCCGAAGGGCCTCGCCTTCGAGCGCTGGGATAGCGTCCTCATCAGTGTAGATCCGGACGATGTCAGGCTCTTCTGGATTGAGGCGTAGCTGATACAATACTCCTTGCACTTTGAAGCCTTCATCACGCATTGAATCGGGCAGGTGCGTGAGGATAGGTGTGTCAAACAGGATCTCTTCATCGGGGTCTTCATCATCATCCGGTTGGTCGACATTTTCATGTCCTTGAAGCTCCGCAGCGGCGATATGCGGCTGAAGCAACTCCAAGATTTGCTCTTCATCATCAAGAGGATCATTCATCACCAGTAGCTCATCCTCCTCAGTGAGCTCTGGCGGCGCGAACTCTTTGTCACCCTCGGCCGGAATTGGCACATTCGCAGTGACAAACTCCATACCAGCTGCAGAGGCTGGAGCCTGATTGTTCTGATCGCGGCCGTCCGTCCCCGGAGGCGTGGTAGTGGGTGGTTCAAAAACTTCATCGATCTCTTCCATAGCGTCATCCTCCTTGGCTTTGGACGGTCCTGGAGGTGCACCCCAGTCCGCTTCAGATGGAATCAACCATTGGCCCGCGGTCCCCCGCTGCTGATACGCCCTCACATTGAAAGGAATCTTTCCGGCGGCTTCGATCTCTTCCTGGGTTGCATCTTCCCAATCTCCCCAGTCATCAAGGATCGCGATCTCCTCAAACTCTGTCAGCGCGACCTTTTTGCCAGTGCCAGTAATGACCAGGGTACGGTTCGTACCAATCACCAAGGCATAGGTAGCCCTCATCAAACCTCTTGTTCCACACCCGCTCACGCATCAGAGCCTTGCGTGTCTTGTTTCCTCTCTGCTTGGCGAAAAGGTTCGCATCTCTTCGGAGGATGTCGACACCAGCCAGAACCCAATAGTAATAGGCAAACAAGGCCACGGAAGCGTAGTACCGGACAAACAGGTTGCGATTGGCCTCCGTATTCAGACAGTGGAAACTGTCGTACCTGGTACATGAACGCACGAGCGTCGTACCGGCCACCGTGATCACCCCCAACTTCTTAAAGGCCTCAGAAACAAGAATCATCTGGCGGGTGAAGTCCTCCGGCAAGCCGTAGGACTGCCCATCGCAGTAGCAGATGACAATCAGAGCTGCTACATCTTTGCGTTGCCTTAGATCGGCGAGACCTTAGATCGGCGAGACGCCGCATCTGTTGGGTGTGACTCTCCGCCAGCTGAGCCTGCCACGCGTACGCGGCCTGCTGCTTCGCTCGGTTCCGGTGGAGGACTTGGGTGTTACCCATGGGTTGCCTACGTACCCATAATTTCCGTAGACATCGTTGCCAGCGTAGCTGACAACTACCACAGCTGGGGCAACACCTCCCGGTGTGCGTCGTGCTTTGTTGTCCAGGCACGCTTCAATGCCGTCGGTGATCTCTTTCAGTCCCTTGCCCCAATGCATGGAGTATTGGGCTGATCCTGCCTTCTCGGTCAACAGGTCCATCCTTCCGGCCTTCAGGAACTCGCCGACATTCCTCTTGGTGCGCTTGACCGTCCCGTCGGCATATAGACCTTCGTCCACAAGTGCCATGGAACTGTCTCCTGCAAAGATGAAGTCGACCACGGGTTCCCCCGGGCATGGAAGCTGTGTCATGAACCTCGGAGGATTGCACTCCAAAATTTCACGATGAGTCTCAT